GAATTCGAACCGACTAATATACCTTTTTATCCTGTTCGACAACTTCCGTTTTGTCGAATTTTACGTCGAAAAGAAAAAAGGCGCATACATTAGAACAAAGCGGCTGTTCTATTCGAAGAGTAGTTATCTGAATGCTATGTCTTTCTCATGCTTATAATTGGATAAAAGACTATTTAACGCGAGTGAATCTTGATTGTTTGCTTTTCGTTGAAGCTTTTCAGAGAATATTTGGTTTTCTGCCGATTTTTCTTGCGATTCGAAGAAAAATGAAGGGAAAACATAGTATCCAGCATCCGGGAATCTCTCAGCAATTTCTAGATGCGATCCTGCTATTGGCCATAAAGTTTTCTTGAACTTGATTGGGCGAAAATGAGAATAAGCAATTAGCTATGGAGAATCGACGGGGATAGGTTTCAGATGATTGTGACGGGTAAATGAGTCTTCTGTTAGAAAGTAGCCATCCGTTATTGTGTTTGTGAACTATCATTTGAAGTGGAACGTCTGTGGGGACGGCTTTTCGAGGACAAACGTCCATGGATTTCTTCAAATTATCAGTCATATGTATTGAAGTTCTTAAAAGTAATTCTATGATTATTTGGCTGAAACTGCAGGTAGTGTATTCGCTTACTTTGAAACTTCTAGAGAATGGAGGACTGGGCTACCATCTACGAACATCATACTAAAATGCTTTCGAATTGTCCACAAGGTATATTTCTAGACCCTAAAGAATAGCACTTCTGCACGAAACTTTGTAGCTGAAATAAGTATAGCATTTATAGTTTTGTTTCGTCCTGATATCGTTCTAGCTGCACTATATTGCAGAGCTCTGTCTGTGCTCAACCTACTAATAACTAAATTGAGTGAAGAAAACATGATCACTATGATTCAACACCATGGGACCAGAGTGAATCGAAGATGAACGCTACTTGTTTTTTAATGGTGGTGAAAACAGCCAAAAATAAATCATTTCACCATCTATACGTTACTACTAGATTAACAAAAATGGTCATCAGACTTGGCGTCGACGGAAACTTATCAATGCAGGTCCCGTTACAGTAATCACACATAAAAAAAGCTGATCTTGATCGCTTCAACGAAACCTATGCGTTCCACAGTAGCTGGAGACGTCCCATTTTCGTAGTTTTCTAGAGCGCACTATGGCTCATCAAACACAGTAGTTGAAACTGGGTTCATCATCGGCCAAAAAGAAAAAGTAAAAATTCCATACGATTTTTACAATTATAAGTAGATTATACCTGTCTTTTTCATTTTATTAATTAAAATCTTTTCTCAATTATCAATTTGTGCAATGACCGTGCAGAAGTGAAAAATTATGCAGGTGATCAGCCATGATCTGCATACAGATATTTTGTGCATACAGCCGAGAGATATTTTACTTTGTTCAGAATTCTTTGCTCTATCAGGCTATATGGTTGGTGAAATTTTCTGATCAAAAACCAAAGATCTGGTTTTCTAGCCTTCAGGTTTTCCAGAAACCCTATTATCAAGTTTTCTCATAAAATAGTGATATGCACCTCATCTGATAGAAAAATCTTTGGGCTATTCAAAACAGTATTCAGATTGGTTCCAGCTTTTACTGAAATATCAAAAACAAAGAAGTTCTTCTGATTATGAAACACTGTACTGCATATATAACATTCGAACGCTTCTTTTGCATATCTTTAATGACTGGTCCCGCCTGTCTAGATATTTTGACCAGCTCAATTTGTAGAGAATTTCACGAGCTATCCACTGGTATTCTTTTGAAAAATATATCGCTTTTCATTAAGACAAAAAAGACTTCTAAAAGAGTATTATGCAGCTGTTTTCGGTAGTCCAACGCGTTCTCTGCATGCCTTTTGTGACTGACCCCATCAGTCAAGATATTCTAACTAGGTCAGTTTGTAGAGAATTTTACGGGCTATCTAATCGTGTATAACTAGAAACCTGTGTCCCTTTTTGGCAAGATTTTCTGGTCAATGACCTTTCGACGTTCAATATCGACCTGTATTATACTATATGTAGAATAACTCTAAATGCTTTTCCTTTGTAACATAAGCTGAATCTAAATGGTACAGTTTGTTCAGAATTTAATACTCTATAAAACTACATGTGACTTGGCCGATAAATGTGTGCTCTTCGAGAGACAGGCTCCATCAAGATCTTCCGTAGGGTTTCTTGTCCCCAAAAAGCGTTTTTGTATTTTGAACATATGTTTAATGCTCCGTCCGACTCAATTTTGTTCGTAGATTATGAATATGGGGTTAAACTGGTTGATAAGTAAATCAGACCAGAAAAAATCAAGTTTAAGTCCAAAATATACCTTATTGTGATATCGTTTTTTCCAGTAAAGATTTTTTTCCCATAGACGCAGATGCATTTCAGACCTCGACATGAACGTGGCAGACAGAGCTCATACTCATACAGTTTTCGACAAAATTAGAATTTGTTTCTGCATATCGTTTGGGTTTCACAGTTATTTTACTGCGCACATGTGATATGGGTATGATCGATTTTTTTTCATAAATGACCCATTTTTCCTAGAAGAACTAGCCTCTATTTCCCATTACCGAACTAGTTTGTACAGCTTTCATTGCTTTACAAGAATATGGGTAAGACAACATCTGATTGTACTACATTACCAAATCTCGACTCTTCCTCTTACATCAATACCGATTAAAGACCAAGAACATGGTGACACTCATATCTCGGTAATCAGAAGGTATTAACCCAAACCCAATACAGATTTAGATGCGTCGCGACAAGCTCTACAAAACCTGATATATAGCTTTCTGCTTCGACATACTTTTGAAAACCGGCACGGTCCTTTCTTATCAAAAATAAGAAATTCACATCAACTGAGACGTTAAGTGTCGAACAGTACGCCTGTTTGTCATGCCATTAAAAAAGTGACCTTTCTCTTTAACTTTTAAAGATTCTTAGAACATGAAAAACAAATATCAATGGGAAAATAAGTATCACAGGAATGCCAATAACCGTTTATATACCATTAATTATTTGGTGGTGTAAAGACTGGCACCACCGAAACCGACAAGTGCACGCGGATATCAATCTACAAAAATGTATTATTTCACCGAGAGGCTTATGAATGGAGAAGAAATGTCTTACCGATTGAACAAGATTAATATCGTTTAGCAACGCTAGTGACAGATCTGAAAGTGAAATATTGGATAAATTCAAATCGAGCATCAAGATCAACTCACCATCACTTGTATTCAAATATAATCGATTTGTATCTGGAGAAATTGATTTAGAAAAAATGAAATTGTTTCAGAAATAGAAGAACCTACTTACCACTTGCTTGGCACCACAACTTTGTCGTTTGAGTAGAACTTTGTCTCGGACAAAGGACCGGTCGACAGCCAGTTCTTGTTTCTACAATTAGAGTATTGCAGTGCTTTAAGCTTAGAAATTATTCGAACTTCGTTTAGCGTAGAGTCTTTAAACAAGTGTTCACTCAATCATTAAACTTGCACTTTTCCGTAAGAAAAAACGACCATCACCACATGAAATTCATTCTAATCTTTCGTGTTAACGCCAAGATGTTCAATAAACGTTTTGATTGAATAATTATTTACAGCTTGAAGACCCATGTATACATGTTTAGTCTAGTTCAAATAGTAGAACTTTAGAGTCCGCTGAAACCACTTCAGCACATATACAGTTATTTCATAAAGAACATAGGTGCATAATATGCTCTTATAAACGAAGAAGAAACTCGAGGAGAGAAAAAGAGTGAAAAACCAAAAGCATCCAAATATCTCAAAAAGATTTTAAATTGAAAAGTTATGAAGTGATGTTACTAAATTCAAATTATTGAATAAAGATCCAATAATAACCTGTGGAAACTAGCTCACTACCTTTCTGAGAAAATTAGAAAACGAAGATTATTTAACGGAAAAGGACTAAAATTGTATTACAATAGTTCAATAGTATTGCGTCTTTCGGGTCTTCCAAAAATTCACAAACCTAATGTTCCTATCAGACCGTTCCTTCCTATCGTTAAGCGTGCAGAATCATCCAATTTTCAAATAAGATGCCCGCAAAGCAAAAATGCAGTAAAAAAATTATTTTTTTACATACCATATACCATTCGATTCTTAGGAAAATTCTTCGCAAATACTATTGATACGACAAAGTGAAAGTGAATATTCAATTAAAAACACTGGTGATTTCATATCATTCTTAAAGAACAACCCATAGTTAACTAAGAGGCGAATGATTAGTTTCGATATTGAGAGTCTTTTTAGAAATGCTTCGGTGGCTGAGACAACAGATATTATATCTGAAAAATTCTATTACACAGATCTTAAAGTAATGCCTGAGAACTATTTCCTTCGATTGTTACAATATGTATTTAAATAATAAATACTACGAACAATTTGACAGTATCTCAATAGGTTTCCCCTAGCTGCTATTTTTGCAGAAATATTTATAATCACCGCAATCGACCTTAAACTAGGGGTCTGCCAAGTCCATAAACCAGGTTGATGGTGTTCGGTTATGGATGTGGTACGGTCATGAACAAGGATAAGGCCTTGGGTCTCTGGATTTTTGTAATAACAATCTGGATGTGAGGGTACAGTCGAAATGATTACCTCAGTAGAAAGCTGAAATGCTACGCAACCTCTGGCTCACAATACAGTTTGTGAGCAGCCGTTAATTGTTCGACCGAGCCCACACTTACTGATTGTTATTTTTAGGAATGTCTCTGGGCTCCCGCGATTTAACAGAGCAGCGCAGAAGATCGAGGGAGCTCTAAACCTCCAAAGAGAGTCCGATGACGTTACCGGATAGAAGCTGAGGTCTTTAGGAGGTATAGGTCTTCATTGCTTTGTCAACCACGCTTTGTAACCGTGCGTAGGTTCTTTTCTGGTCTGAAGATTTATGCCTCTGCGGTCTACTGTAATTTCTAAGGCGTGAACGACCTTAGAATCTGGTGCACAGTTGCGTGGGTACCACGGGTGCCAGATAGGTAGATGATTGTTAACTGTAGTCTACTTGGCACTTGTGGCGCCGGTAGTAGGTCGGAAGTTCTGGAAACAACAATGGCAACATACACAACAACCTCTCCAACTCAAACTGCAACTATTTCACAAGAAAAATCTACTTCAATTACTTTACATCAGTTGTATGACATCTTTTACACTTGTGAAAAAGATGTTCGCTTGGCTGTCATCAGAATATGTGAAGTTTTGGACGTAGAGGAGCGTAATGAGAACAAAGAGACAATCTCGAAATTAATTCACTCTAATTTTGTAAGAAAGAAGTCTCAGTTCGAAAATTCGCGAAGACGAAGCAATCAACAAAGACAAAACGAGTATGCACAGATAATACTTTACAAGAGTGAATTAAAACAACATCCAAAACCACCGAAAAGTACAAGTAGAGATTTCAGCGAAGTTGGCAATAAACAAAAGAAACGTCGTTTAACTGATTTGAACGAGGAGTTAGACGAGTTTGCTGCGAACAATCTTACAGTTAACCAAGTTCTTGGTTACTTGATCCACCAGCGCAACCATCAGACAAATAAAAAACTTATTCAATTTGGCAAAGAGTTCTACGAAACTGACGATCTAAGTCAACCAAATATTCAAGTAAAGACAACTCCACCACAAACGAAGTTGAAGGACATTGTGCATAAATATAAAGAGCGAGCTGAGAACCGAAGATTAGAAGAAACAACTGGAATAAAGCAACGTAAAGTAACTGAGATCTTAGTGAAAAAACGTAACGGTAACTATAAATGTCCACGTTGCAGTCGCCAGTTCAAGCCACAAGGTATAACTGGGCACGTAAAATCCTGTGCAAAGAAATGGTGTGTTCAAAATAAAGTGAAAATGAAATAGGAAGAGTACAACTAGATGATTGGAGCTCTGGGAAGAGATGATGAAACTCAACTAAGCCATTTGGAGGTTGATTTTTTGATATATTACCATTGCAATAATCACTTTGAACGAACGCTAAAACTCTGAAGGAAATTGAGTGTTGTGTCTATTTTTTTTGTGCATTTTTTTGTTTGTTTCACCCTACACTGAAAGGTAATGGGTATTACTACTACTACTACTAAGTCAATCAAAAAATGACTTGACTTTAGATGAAACGTTAGCATTAAAATCTCATCTCGATCTCAGTCGAAACCAGATGGATTTTCTCAAAACATTTTGCAGTTCTCATTTGACTATTACTAACAGAGAATACGTCAGAAACTATTCTAACAATATCTTGCCATCGCTTTCACGATGGAACACTGCTTCATCCACCAAAGAAACAGGCTTGTACGTGCGCGATAGAGAATCTGTTGTCCAACTAACAGTGAAAAGATTAATAGACATGCTACTTAAGCAAAACGTCATGGTTCCAGAAAAGCTCGAATATCGAGAAAAAAACTGGACATGATGAGCTGGTACAATGTCTATTTACAAATCCGCTAATTCACCTATGGAAACGGCAAACATCTTCAGCAAGATGTTTGTACCATTAGTTTAAAAGCCTCCACAGGTGAAGTTTTATGGGTAAATCAAACTCCTAACAGCTCGTCCAATGACACTTATAGCTGAAAAAGAGTCTAAAGAATTACTCTCTGCTGTGAATGGTATATTTGAACCAAGTGAAAAGCGCTTACAGGAAAAAGGCATCGCTTTTAACTATAACAACAAAAAATACGAAGCTAAAGTTTGTATTGAAAGTAGTATGAAAGATTTAAAGGTCCGTACAATGGAGCCTGGTTTGGGTGGTGCAGACTGCCTTCTCTGCACCACTCGATCAGCTGAATGGAAAGACCAAAATAAAATACAAGATATAAATTATTTTGCTATTAATCGTACTTGTGAGATGATAATGACCATATGTTTATTCAACACAAAAAAAGGATAACTACCGAATGTCTTCCACTAAGAAAAACGGTTCGTATTTATAGGTTAGAGAGAGAGATGAGAAGAGAAGAGAAAATCGTACCATACAAAGAATTTCACAGTAAAATAATGAGGAGAATATCAGACCATATACATAGGAATGATAAACAGTGAGATATAAGAATGTGAAACAATGAGAAGAATATCACACCATATAAGAATGTTAAACAATGCGAAAAGCATACATATCGAATCATACATATGAGAAGGATGGAACGAAAATAACCAGGACTTCTTAACATAATGCAGGAAAAACTTTAGTTCTCTATAGAGAAATGGTTAAAGTCGATGGCCAAATTATCAAGAGTAAAAATGATTATGCTACCAGACAGGGTCTCACAAGCGAACCAGTGTCTACCCTTGACAATCATTTTATCACAATTACTCATTAATACATAAATGGAGTATCTTGGGTCCTTAAATTAATGTACCACTTTCGAGCCAATGTTCTAAATTGATCCGAACGAGGAGATGTTAAAGAACAGATTAAAAAAGCACGAAGTTTAGTTCTCAGCGAAATAGAAACAAAAACGAGCCTTCGGTTGGACCAGGTGAACGCAACGGGTGATTCCGGAACACCAACCACTGGCAACCAAGATCGAAAATTCTTTTCCTTTGAACTAAGAGATGCTATAGTTGAAAGCGTTCCCTCGAAGTATCGAGAACCTTTCAAAAATCTCTCGCAGTATTATTCTGTAATACTTCGTCTTGTGTCCTCCACTGAACTAATCAATGTTGATAAGTTTAGACAACTGACTATAGACTTGACAGTCTTAGTTGTTAAAGAATTTCCATGGATTGAGTATTCTATGACAGTTCACTCTCTGATTTTTCACTCTACAGAGCTGATTCAGAGAAACAACTCTATCGGACTCGGCGAGTTATCCGAGGAAGCTCTTGAAAGCTGTAATAAAGACATCCGAAATTATAGAGAATTTCTCTCCCGAAAATGTGGACACATAGAAAATCTTACGGATGTCTTCAATCGATTATTTCTAAGGAGTGACCCTGTCATAAATTATACTGTACACCATTCCTGGGCAACAAGAAAAAGAAAAGACAAAACAGTCTTGACTTGCAACAATGAAGACGATAGCCTCTCCTACAGTATGCTTGTAGATAGTTAATTATTTCGAATTTGTATTTATTTTAGTTTTAGCATCAATTTTAGTTTCTTAAGCGTATGCATACTAAAAGCACGAAAAATGACCTGAAAGTACGAGTCTAGAATTTGCAAAAGAAGCTTAGTGACTTGGCCAGCTGCATGAAAAAAGAGCCAAAGGGTGGTGGTAGGCACTAACCTGTGTGACGATGTGCTTTTTTCTAGTCAGAGCTCTTGTTAGAATTTGCTAAAACATAGAAAACATTTTAATTTAAGTATTCAATAAAAAGTGGTTTCCAGAGAACTGGATTTCCATAAAACCTTCTAGAAGGTTCTGAAAAACTTTCTATTGCTAGATTCAAAAGCAGCTTACTCAAAACCCTATAAGAGCTGATTTTCGAATCAGAACTACGTACTTTTAAGTCCATTTTGGTCTCTGGAAAACCGAGGATTTCTAGAAAACCCGCTTTCAAGTACCTCTGAGTTCTGGAAACCACTCCATAAGAAAGAACACATGCGAAAACTTATAAAAAGTATTTTTTTAGTGTATTGGAGTATTTTAAAACCAAATGTCCACGTGCCTATCAAAAATTACCCACTGTGCAATAGCAGTGTATATGACAAAATGGATATATAGATATCATTTATTTATTTTGAACTCAAGTAATTTTGGTCCAAACTAATTAACTCTTTCATCAGCAGATTTAGGAGATTCTTCTGTACTCATATATCGTAGTATCGAAAAGAAGTCCAAACAATCCTGATTACGCTGAAAGAGATGAAGAAATATTAATCTCTAAAACATTCTAAATTCTAAATTATTTTCAGCATAAGAGGGCTGAAGAGCAATATCAAGAACTTAGTTTTATTTTAGATTACTTTGTTATCAGAACATCATGAACACCTTACTGGTATGTCCACGACATTTGTGTATTCCTCCTTGTGAACAGTGTAAAGTCAAAACTACTACTCACTGTGTGCACCGTCTTATGAATAACTTTCAATAGTGATTGTACCTTTTATAATCTAGTTGAGATTTTACCCTAATTTCTTTTAATTCATTTTGAATAAAGTTTCTTAGCCTACTGGAGAAGCGAGCAGAAAGAATATGAAACCATAAAGAATGCAATTTCCCTTGCTTGCCTTATTATTTTCTTGTGATCTTTTCTCGAAGACAAATGCCGAGTAAAACAGATTGCAGTTCGTTATATTTTTGTTGCTTCTTGTCGTTTCTTCCCTAAAAACTATCGAATAAACTTTTTGCTTCCCTGCTAGCAGTACCCCGAGCCAGTTTTGGTGGAAACAAAAGTGCCACTTTCCTTTTTCTTGAGAAAGAAAAGATATGCATTATATCTTTAATCTTTCCTTTTGAAAGAAAAGATACCACTTTACCGTTACTCCGGAAAGGAAAGGAAAAGTGCCACCCCTAGTTCTACGTGTTCATAATGATAAAATACCAAACGGTATCGCTGGTCATACGCGAAATACAGTGACATACTGCGTGGTTACTGCCAGTATACCGGATGATATTTTCGTTCACTATGATAGTAAACCTGCCAGTAACCGTCGGTATTTTGTCGATATTAAGCCCATAGAAAATTCAATGGAACAGTTTTGTCGTTATCACTACATGTTTTGTGACAAGGGACTTCAAAATTTCATACGCAGAGAACGGAAAACGCTCAGCACACATGGCGACGTACGTAGTCGTACCCATACGACCTCTTTATGCATTTATGCATATGGACTACAGTCAATCTTTTTACTGTCCGGACAGATTATAAATCATTCTGTGCATTTTTGTGCGATTCTCTTAACCTTTAAATGGAAAATATACCACACTAATGATATTGGACTAGGAATTGTGACATGACAATGGTAATCACAAAGAAATGATATTGCACAACAAACGCAGGTTACTCCAACCTTAGTATCAAAAAACATGAAAATTTTCTTCAGATGCAAGGAGAAAATCGAGTAATATTTTGTGATTATTGTGTAGCATTTAACAAACCAAAATGAGTTCTTGGCTTTGCGGCTTCCGATTGATAGTATAAGCTGCTGTATTCAGCATATAACTATTTATCGCTCCTCTTCATGTAAATTCTGGTTTACTTCCAGATTAGCAGTGTCGACAACAGGCGTTGTGTAACTACCTGCGATAGTTTCACTTATTTATTGATGATCGGGTTTATTTATCATCACGTAAGTTTCAGTTTTACAGTCCAAAGCTGATTATAAGAAACAAATCGCTATTCTTATTACTGTTCTACTAGGTGCTTGAAAAGGAGGGGAAAAGACAGATGCGAAATTTGCATGGAGCGAAAGTCTGTTTTTAAGACAGCCCTTTTATTCCAGTGCAGAAAGAATACAGTTTCATAATATCGCTGCTATACGAGAAGAAGCTAACTCAGCTGTGAGAGTCTTGGTGAAAGGAAGATGTAGACCTTCATGATGCGTGCCACCGACATCATTTTCGGCTCTTAGGATGTCGTCTCTGCTCATTTTTCTTTGAGAAAGTCATATACAAAATATTAATTCTGCAGTTACATCCTTGCCTCACCAAAACTAAGTGCCATCCTTATATTTTTCCTTTCTCGAAATGGTGGTGTTCCTTTTGTATTAGCCGAATAACTGAAATTTACAGCGATTAGAGCCTGCCCGATGACTTGTTGCCACCAAATTTTACTTTTATATTATATTTGACTGTGGAGAATGTTAAACTTTGATGTTCTTATGTCGATCTACATGAATGGTGCACTCCATTAATAGCTCTCATTAATAGCTTGTCGTCCGGTGCTATTTGTGCTTCGGAGGAAAGATAATTCTCTGTTTCTTTCTGAGCTCTTTCACTTTCCTGTTCGTTTCATTGAGATAACAGAACGCCTAAGAGATGGAGCAAATGATCTTTTTCTTGAGAAAGAGAGAGAGAGAGAATTATCTTTCCTCTGAGCACAAATAGCACCGGACGACAAGCTATTAATGAATATATGAAAACGTTCTAAGTTCAGAGTCAGTTTTCTTCCAGAGCTTTCTGTAAATTCGTTCTTAATACGGCAAGGAAACAGTATGCAGATGGTACGTCATTAATGAAGATAAGAAAAGGCAAAGCCCCGAGTACTGACCCTTGCACGACACCGAGAGCACCGGTGTTGGGCAGAGAGTGATACTCCAACTTTAACTTGTTGTTAGCATTTACTAAAGTAACTACTGAACCAATCTAATGCAGTTTCTGAACGGTCTGTTGTTGTTAATCTAGAGGTGGTAATTTGGTACGTTACTTTATCAAAAGTTTTTTCTAAATTGAATGCGGCCAGGACAGTATTAAAAGGTGGTAGTGGATTTAGGTTGTTTATCAAATTGGGCAGTAGATAGAACAAAGCATGAAATGTTGACATTTTAGGTCGAAATCCAAACTAGTTATTAAAACACACACAACGCTCATCAATTGAGTATATGAATATTTTTGCTTAAAAGCTTTTCACTATCCCTGAAAAGACTTTGCACTTAGCAGAAAAAACTCAGTACTGAAGATCGCTTACTAACTTTCAGCAGCAATGACATGTTTTCACGATAAATGGACGCATACGCACACATCAGGATACTTTTTCCCATTTCGGCCTCAAACTGTAAAATTTTCAACGACTAATTCAACTTTAGCTTGTTCAACAATGAATTTTTCATATGCTTTGCCTGTCGTTGCAGTCAGAAATCAAATTCCTGTGAGAGTTTTGTCTTTACTATCTCCTTTTTAACAAGTAAAACGTCTCTGGCGTTAGAACTAGCACGGCTAACAGTATCTGAGCTATAAAATTCGATCACCAGATTTGCGGTTACTTCTTCAAGTGGCTTATTTCCATGACAATAATTTGATCGTGTTAGAACACCTTTTGTTTTTCTCAACTGAACGGTATTTCGAGCTGGATGTACTATAGGACGGCAAAAAATCTCAATTTTCTCTCGTGCCCACGCCTCTGCATTGAACTTTCCACAAACGAATTATGAAATACTTGAACTCACACACTTTCGTTTACTATAACAATTATAATCGAGAAGCATTGAAAAAACGAATATTTCATTGATAAGGAAATAATTTGCAGAATCGGAAATTACGGATCTACTGAAGTGAGATCCAACGGTCTGTCTCTCTGTCACACCAACTGTACAAATGTTTTTCCCTACACTAAGAGGACCTAGCAGTTGTAACTCATTTATCCGCCTGTCACGCTGCGCTGCTGGTGGATATACATATATATGTTACATACACACACGCTCTCATATCTAACATAAACATTCAATTTCGTATGTCTCTCTGACTACATCTATGAATAATAAAATGAAAACTTTCAAAAACCATCGCTACTTGTTCACGAACAATCACTGCACAAACAAAAATGTATTTATTAATTTAGTTTTTAATAATGTAAATGAAGACTTATAAATAATATAATGAAACACAATAGAATGATGGTTACCTTTATTAAAGCAAAAATATAAAGATAAGAAATAACCATGTTCTTTCTTGTTGTTATTCTGCCGAAAAAAAGTATTTGGATTCTTTTGTGAACATTATCTGGATTGTCCAGATAAAATGCACAAATCTGTGAGTGTTAACTTAAGCAGCTGTGTCACAGTATTCGATAATTTTGCGATTGAAGTATCCGCATTTGGAAGCCAAATTGAGTTTTCACATTTGTTCAAAACACACCTTAATCAAACACGGATGCAGGAATTTTCAATGTCCATAATATAAAATTTTTGTAGGAAACATTTGTGAAGATGTCATGGTGTTTTTCTGTGAATTCATGAGTGTGCCCTAGATGAGGACACGTTTGATTGGAAACTCTTATAAAAACTTCCAAGGACTTCTCCGATTTTTTGGAAAACATGGAAGTTTGAGGTTTGAAGCAATCAAAGCTATAGTTACACAGCTTTTCTAACGTATTTATCCTAGGCATGCACCAGTTAAAAACTGATGTTAGAGCTTCCATGAAAATTGCTATAAGCCATCTGTAAAGTAGCGATGTGAGATAGGGAGGGTAGGATAGGGCCAGGGCTTCGTCTAAAAAAGATATATCGTCGGTACGGGGAATATTTTCAAAAAGATACGATCTTACGAGTTGGCGCGATTGGAAACAAAAGAATTTCTTTTGCCTTATTTTGTTCTGTTCTAATGAACATCAGTCGTTGAATCATGACTTCGACTTTATGAATAAACGATATAAGTGCTCCGACTTTAGCATAACCATTTTTCACAAATAAAATTTTATTTTTCGTCTAAAAACGGCCGCTTTAAATTTAGGTCACGCTAATATTGGTTCACCAAATTTCTGATGAATCAATGACTTGTATGCGTTCGATTGGCTACGTGCGATGCTATACCTTATTCACTATCAAAAAAGTGTCGCACAAACGCGCTTACGTTTAGAAGTTAGTTTACTGGAAACGATGTAACACATCACAGCTTGAAAGCCGTGGTATCATACATTTTCTAGCGTATTCACACCATGCTATCTCCTGCTGTTTACAACAGTGGATGTATCGGTTTATGACAATTAGTTTTGCGAGTTGCTGGCGTTTTTCTATATTGAGAATGAGTGCTCCTAGAACCAAACTTTCTTTGATTAGTACTACTTTTTCTATAAAACTCTTGAGGACAAATCTTATCCATCTAATAATTTGGGGGACTTATGCGTTAGGTAGACGTTCTCCCCTTTTACGGAGCAAAAAGCAGCACTGATAAGCTTTTCTATATCTTGTTATACACACTCAAAGAATTCAGTTTCATTTCTAGTTTTTTCGGTCTTCTTTAAGAAAAGAAAAATCGAAAAAAGAAAGAATTCAGCGCATGTTGTTATATATTCTCTTCTTTATCATTAAACTAATCGTCTCTAGTATTCAGCAGCCTCAGCAGCAGTGTAACTGCCAACGTCAGTATGTGCTTATAGGCGAAGCACGCTCAAATCTATCACTTATACAAGTTTATCAGTCTAATTCAATTCGCGAATTGAGATTGAATACCAAAGGTACAAACACAATCGAATCATCGATCGATCTTGATCGTCCATTAGACTCAGTTCATCAATATGCAAATACGATGATGATTGGATTAATCTGGAATATGATACCTCGACATATTCTTATTATTGGACTTGGTGCTGGTATTCTACCGAGAATACTTCGCTCGTATTATCCTCTCGCACAAATCGATATCGTCGAAATTGATCCAAATATCTTAGATGTAGCTCGCGACTACTTTGATTTTCAATCTGATTCTCGGATGAATGTCATTATCCATGATGCACGATATTATATCAGGACTTCTGTTAAAAAATACGATATCATATTTTCCGATGCCTTTCTTGAAACTGATGAAGGGACACCTTATCACTTGAAAACTGTTGGATTTCTGTCTGAACTGAAACGAATAATGGCCGATGATGGTGGTGTGCTTGTTAGCAATTTACACCGTCGATACAGTGATTACAATCGGCTTCGACAAACATATTCATTTGTCTATCAATATAATTATGCTTTTCTTGGTAAAGGAAAATGTAACTATGCAATCCTTGCCTCCGTCAACGAAAGAATAACCTATGAAGAGATGTTGAGCAGAGCACGTCACTTGCAAGACATCAAACGTTTTCGATTCAATTTAACAGCAGAAATAATAAAGTTGGAAATTGAAGAGCAATGGAACAAAAACAGTGATGTGCTAAAAGATTCTGTTGCTGTGGAACAACAAAAAAGCGTATCAGTTAAGAGAGATGACTTTCGTCTGTACTTGTATACGGCTATTTTCGGTTTTCTAATTGGAAGCTACAATTGGCTGCTTGTCACCACCGTGGTCACTCACTATTGCAAAATACTTTGTTCTAGACTATTTAAATAGCAATCCGCTCAAACATAAATATTTTTTGCATGCATATTTAATTGAGCATACATCAATGCGTTGAAAATTTGTGAAACTAAAAAGTTAAGTTTTCTCAGGCTTCGAAGGAAAAACTTAACAAGTTCTCGAAAGAAGGTCGTGGAATGCTGAGAGTGATCTCACTTTGTAGCACACACTTTCCTTTAAAAGAAGAGGATACTGTTAATTAATACAATACAATGTAATTACACTCTTTTCTATTATAAACTGTTTGAATGATCATGTGTTTCTGATGCAAGAACGAGCATACGAAATATAACGCAATCTTACAAAAGAAAAAGCTTCTGTCACAACTAACTGGATTAATATAAATATTCATAATTAAACAGAACTGTTTCTTTGTCTTCTACAACGAACTCTAGTTGTATATCGTTGATACTCAAAACGAACGAGTTCTCCAATATGATGCTAAAGGTACTTCGGAGGGACATATCGTCGTCCTAGGAGGAGAAGGTCGAGGTGATGGTGTCAATCAACTAGAAAATCCACAAG